ATCTGACTCGATGGCAGTGAGTGAGTGTGAGTGACCAAAAAAAAAAAAAACCCAAGCTCATGCCATTGAGTCAATTCGACTCATAGTGACCCCTTTTTGGGTTTCTGAGGCAGTATCTCTACTGAAGTAGATTGTCCAGTCTTCCTTCCAAGGCATGACTGGTGGGTTTGAACCACCAGCCTTCTGGTTCACAGCCAAATGGCTTAGGCACTACACCACCAGAGCTCCCAATTAAAGCCCCTAATGTGCTAAAGGAGCTCTTGGTGGCATAGTGCCTAAGTCATTTGACTGGTAACCAGAAGGTGGCGGTTCAGACCCACCAGCCGCTCCATGAAAGGAAGATTGGGCAACCTACTTCCATAAAGATTTACCATCTTAGAAACCCAATAGGGGTTGCTATGAGTTGGAATCGACTAGATGGCAGTGGGTTTTTTTTTTTTTTTTTTTTCAGTATAATGCTTGGAGTCCCTGGGTGGCATAAACAGTTAAGTGCTCAGTTATTAGCTGAAAGGTTGGCAGTTGGAACCCACCCAGAGACTATTCTGAAAACAGGCCCAGTGATCTTCTTCTGAAAGGTCCCAGCTTTGAAAACTCTATGAAGCAGCTCTACTCTGCACATGTGGGGTCACCATGAATCAGGATCGACTCCACGGTAGCTAACAACAGAACAGTGCTTGACACTCCTCTCTCTGGGGCACGAAGCTGTACTGTTTCCAAACGTCACATTTATTCATATTCAGGATCCCACTTTTTCTTCTCAATAAGGCTGCAGCATAGCCTGGTGATGTGTCCTTGTTCCCGATGTTTGATGAGGAGAGCCTTCTTTGCAGCCCCTCCTCAGAAAAAAAAACTCGCTGCCATCGAATCAATTCCAACACATAGTAACCCCCTTTGTATTTCCAAGGCAGTGAATCTTTATGGAAGTAGATTGCCCAGTCTTCTTTCCATGGAGGGGCTGGTGGGTTCGAACCGCCACCTTTCTGGTTAGCAGTCAAATGCCTTAGGCACTATGCCACCAGAGGAAGCAAATGTGTACCTCCTGCTGAACATCTCTGCCAGCACCCCACTACCTCCAAAATCAAGTTCACTCACTGCAGGCCAGGCCCAAGGCTTTTCCTCAGACTCTAATCACCCTGGACTACTTCATGCTCCCTGAGTTGCTGGGCGCTCTCCCAGCACCGTGCCTGTGCATCTCTTCAGACTGGAATGCCTTTTCCCTGCTTCTCATGTGGCTCATTCCTAATCCTCCTCTGAGGCCCCTGCTCAGGCATCACCTCTTCTATGAAGCCTTGCCAGACCTCCTAAGAGGCGTAATACAGTGAGCTATCGTGGCCAAGTGCCCAGCTGGCACACCAAGCATGCACCCTTCAACAAGCTGCTTCTAAACCTCAATGTAAAGCCAATTGTGAAGATTAGACACTTGTGAGATTACTATGTACTAGTCACTGTGCCTGGTACATAGTAAGTGTTCAATAAATACTGTGTGCATCTACATAGCTGGCTTTTAGTCTTTGCCCTGGTACTGACTCAGACCAGTCTGTCTTAGCCACAGTTTCTCCATCCTGTAAAATGATGCTTTTTAACCCCCAGGCAGCCATTGATGGGGTTTGTAGGGAAGAGGGGATATGTGTAAAATTTCAGTAGCGGGTCAGCAAAAAAGGGGAAGGCCCACCACAAGATGGATTGATACAGTCAGTGGCTGCAACGATGGACTCAGGTATAGCAAGGACTGTGAGGCTGGTGCAGGACCAGGCAGTGTTTCCTTCTGTTGTGCATAAGGTTGCTGTGAGTCAGAGATGACTCAAATGCACCTGACAACAAATAAAACAATGGTGCTGGTGCCTCTGTGCATTTTTCTGAGATCTGTAGGACCGGGAAAAAACCTAGAACTGGGGTGACCACTGAGGATCTACCTTTCTCCCACTGGGCCCAACCACAGCACCACCAGCCTCTGCTGAGAACTGGATGCTGTCCAGACACGTGAACCACATGGCTGACTTGGTATGAACAGACATAGGCTCAAGTTGACCATTCTGCCTGGCTTCCGATCACCTTTCCCCAGCGATGCTGTCTCAATAACCAGTGCTCAGGGCTTCCTCGATTCAGGAACCTAGTGGCATTTGAGCACTGGAATGGACCTCTGGAACTTTTCTTTTTCCTTAGTGACCAGTTTGACCCTCTCTTCCCTTTGAGACTGGCACCCCGTTGGAAGGGGGATCAGCCAAGACAGGGGGCCAGGAGCCCCTTCTCACATCCTGAGATTCTAGACATCTCAGTCTACCTTAGCCTCCATACCCCACCCACAGCAAACCATGAGGCCCATGGCTTCTACTTGTAAATAACTCCTTTTCTATGTGTCCCTGGTCTGAGACCTCTGCATCTCTTTCTTGAACTGTTGCAACTAAAGGTCTTTGAACCTCCGTAGTTCTTGCTTATTACCCCTTGATGGCATCCAGAGCCTTTAGGGTAAAGTGTGGCACATTGTGCCCTCCAAGGCCCAGCCCCTGCTCATCTCTCTGGCCTCCTTTCTTGCCTCCTTCCTTTTACCCTGTGCTTTAGCCACTCTGGGCTAAAGCTGGGCATCCCTGGCTGTGCTGTTCAGTACTGTCATACCTCTGGCCTTTGTTTACATGACCCCTCACCCTGGAGTGCCCTTCTCCTCCACCTCTACCTCTGGAAATTTCCCTTGTCCTCTTAAGCCCACCTCAAATGCCTCTTTTTCTGGGAAGGAAGGCTCCTCTGGTTCTGTCCTTAGGACTGAAGACACCCTGAGGGGTCCCACAGCTCTTTGCTTGTGCTCAACTGGAGAGAAATTCAACAAAAGATGTCAGAGCCAAGGGCACCCTGGGGAACAGCAGGGTCAGAAATGTCATGTGACCTGGCTCTTGAAGACCCCTCGTTGGTGCTCTTAGATCTGCATTTCCTGCTGTCTGACTGATCCCACCATGATGTGAGGGTGTCTCCTCTAAAACCTCAACTTCTGTGCCTGGGATCCAGGTGTCTTCACTTGTGGGTGACCGGAACTTGGCACACAGCTTGACCCAGAGCAGGTTCACAGAGACTACTTGATGAGTGAGTGAATGAATGAATGAATGAGGCAGAGCTCACAAGTCTCTCAGACGCCCATTTTCCATTCAAAGCTCACAAGAGACTGATAAATAGAATATATTTTATTAACATCAGATAATGTTGTGTGCCATTGATTTGACTCATGGAGACCCAAGGTGACAGAGTAGAACTGCCCCATGGGGCTTCCTAGGTTGTAATCTTTATAGGAGCAGTGGCTGGGTGGGTTCAAACCTCCAACCTTTTAGATAGAGCTGAGTGCTTAACCGAATCCTTAACCGTTGTGCCACTGAGGCTGTTAAATTTCAGATGGGGGTGGGTGGAAACTATCCCACTGCCATATTACAAGTCTTTCCTCCAGAGTAAGGGTGGGACACAGTCTGATGTTCAAGCTAAACTTTTTTTTTTTTTTTAAATATTCCAATATTCCACGCAGACTCCAACCTTGGCCAAGGTATCACCCCTCTGATAGCAGGAAAGGCTCTCGGCTGGGACTCTGTAGTTTGAGTCCCATTCCAGCAAGGACTTTGCTTATGATCCTGAGCAAGTCATCGCCCTCTCTCTGGACCTCAGTTTCCTCATCTGTTTAATGGAGATATCCATCCTTGCCTGTTGAGAAGCAGCTCATTCACTCAGGCTCCAGGATCAAAACATAGTCTCTGCTTCTAGAAACCTGGGCTATTTATCTGGGCAGCTGGTCATGGGCAAAAGTGGGGGTGGAGAAGATGGAAAATGGAATGAACAGAGGGGCAATGAGCAGCTCAGAGCCTCTTGGGATGGCTTCTCACTGGCCAGATGACAAATATCCTGTCTCATGAGCAATCTGACATGATCTATCCATAGGACTTGCTAGGACTACTGAGTTGAGAAAAATACTAAGGCTGAAGCCAAGCCTAGCATGATTGATTAGCAATGTCTGCCTTAGGTACCAAAGAGGCAAAAAGTAACACATGTTTCACATGGGTGCCATCCAAAAGGGCTTGTGGTGGTTATGTTTGTGTGTCAATTTGGCTGGACCTGGTTGAGTGGCTGGGTAGCTGGTGGTAGTTATTCCCCGTGACGAAACTGGCAATCAACTCCATGGTGGGACATACCACAAGCAGCTGAGTAGCTGCCTTTGGGATGTGGTCTGCTTCCCATATATAAGAAACAGCTTTGGGAATGATCTCTGGCTTATGGCATGCTTGAACCCTTCATGTAGCTGTGTCGTTGTTCAGCAGCCTGCCATGCTCTGCTGACCTTGGGACTTCCAATGGACTTGAATTAATGGCCTGCCATGTGGTTTGTGCCTTTTTACTTGTCAACCTTGGGCTTGTCGGCCTCAGCAGCCAGCAGTTGTCTGAGTGAAGAAAGGCCTCTAGCTTCATTGGGCCGGAAGCAGGAGGCAATGCTGAAGCACAAGGTTGAGGGGCTTTCACCTAACCCCTACAGCGTGGCACTTTGAACTCAGACATAAAGCCTCCAAATTGTAAGAATAAACTCCTGTTTGTTAAGGCCATCCCATTTGTGGTATATATTCCTGTCAGAGTGGCACTAGGTCACCAGAACAGAGCTAAACTCCTCTGCTTGGTATTTAAACCCCAGACCTCTGCTCTCCAAGGGGTGACACAATCATGATCTGCAAGCCCATCCTGGAGCAGAAGGAGCAGATTTCCTTTGTGTAGAAGCAGCTCTAAAATCATGGAAGCCCTCATCTTTGTTGGGAGCTAACACGGTAACAAGCTCCCTGTCAATGCATGTATTCAATCAGAGGCTGAGTAACTTGGAAGCAGTGAAGGTAATTCCTGTTCAGAGGAGGTACACAGATCACACGACATGATCTCAAAGGCTCCTCCTTCTTGCCCTCATGTTCTAGGATTTGATGAGGAATGTGTAGAATTATCAATGTCTTTCCATCTAACCTTCTCCCACTCTGGCCAGGCCAGGCGGCATGCTCAGGGTCCAGGGCAGGAGTACTCGTCCGACCAGTCAGAGCAGTGTTGCACGTGGTCCCGACAGAGACTCCTCGGGATGCAGTCACAGTACTTGAAGACAGTTGGGGTGCAGCGCCACCACCCAGGGCCACAGGAAAGGCACGTGGTCACTGGGGAAACAGGAGACAGCTGGTGTGTCCTGGAATGCCCTGTTCATCTGAGCACTGCCTAGGTCTGGACCCTGCCACAGCACCTCATAACCCCACCCCATCTGACTTAGGGTTCACTGTATTCCTTATTTCCCTATGGCACAAATGATCTAGTCTCCTCAGCTCACAGGCTATATAACCTCAACCAGTTGTCCTCTCTGTCTGAGCCTCTGTTTCCTCACCTGCTCAAAGATGTTACAAAGTAAAGGAAGAAAGGCAAAGTATCAGGCACAAGGCCAAGAATCAAATATTCATGTGTGCATTTAAAAAAAAAAATCTGGGGCAATAAGAGAACTCCAGACTTGGAGCCAGGACACCTGGGTTTATACCTAAGCTCTCCCTTCCTGTTACTCCTTGTATTAAGCCCCTTCTCCTCTCTGAGCCTCAGTTTACCCACATATAAACTGGGATGATGATTCCTGTTCTGCTTCCCTTTCAGGGCTATTGAGAGGTACAGAAGAAAGAGACCCAGGTTCGGATCCCATTTGGGCCACATACTCCTTGCCTGGCCACTCTCTGGGCCCAGTTTCTTCATGTACCCTTGAAGGGAAATTGCCCACCAAAGAATAATGGACCTTTAGAAAGGGGCACCTGGAGTGAGCACCCCACAACTGGAGGCATTCAAGCAGGAATGGAATTCTCTTCCAGGGATGCAGGGAGAAACTGTGTAGATTCCCTGGGCAGACCCTGCCCTCTGGCCACTGCCTGGCCACCTTCCCCAGCCTAGCCTATGTCTAGACCCCCACCTGGGCTCAGTTCATCTGAGCAGTCTCCGCAGTTGTTGATTCCGTCACACTTTTGGTCTGAGTAAATCCAGGAGCCAGGATCTCCACAGTGGGCCACGAGGAAGCTGGGGAGGCTCTGGGGCATATCTCCTACCAGAGGGACAGATGAGACAGGAGGAATTCCCCATCTGCCTCAGGGCTCTTTGGAGGTGGATTGCCTTGGCTACCCCACCTCCCTTTTGCCCCAGGATGGATACAAGGAGAACATTTCCTGGGGGAAAAGGTCAGGTTGAGGGGAGAGAATTCCCTGTGTGCTGATTGTGTACAAAAAATAGCCCAGAGAGCTGCCTCCCTCTTTCTTGCTCCCTTCCCAGTTCTTATGCATTCCCACCCCACCCCACTAGACACACTACTTCTCCCTCCAGACATGTCCTCTTTAACACCTATCCCAAACCATTCCACCTTCAAGTCCAGGAAGCCTCCAACTGGAACACAACAAGAAAAAAGGTCAAGTCTTACACTTGGGCCCCAGAACTGAGGGGCTCTGGGTTCACATACCTTGTGAGAGGGAGTCAGAGGTTCTGTGTTAGGCAGCAGTGCTACAGGGTCACTAAAAACTCTAAAACTCAGGCCACCTCATTAGAGTTATAAAATCCAGATCAGGAAGGGGACATGCCTTTGTTTCTGGACTGGTCAGACTCAGCTAGAAGTGTCCTGGATGCTTCTGGAGCCTGTCCAGGGAGAGGGATATGGCAGTTTCTGTGTGTTCTGGGGTAAGGCTTCAAACCAGTTTGAACCAGTTCAGTCATGGCAGATGAAGCAAAACCAGAACAGATCTGAATTTTAAAAATTTGGGTGATCTGGAATGCTGCTTGAACATGGAGAATTATGGGTTGAAGCCCTGAAATGGGAGACTCAGACAAGGCATAGCAAGTCCTTTTCAGGAGCCTGATGTGGGAGATTGAATTACTGCTAGCACTGTGGAGAATGACACATATTTAAAGCTGTGTGGTTGACTGCCATCTTTGAGCTGGGCACCATTGTTCTGAACTCAGCTGGTCAAGAGGTTTGGTTGCTATGCAATGCCCACACTGCCCTTTATTTCCAAGAGGGAGATTAACTTTCTAGCAGGACTTCAACTCATAATTTTCCCCATTCTTGTTAGCGTTCCAGTTCACCCACATTTAAAAATTCAGGTCTGTACAGGTGTTGCTTTATCAGCCATGACCAAACCTGGCTGAACCAGTTTGAAGCCATAGTTTTGGGGAGCACTGGTGGAGTGGAAGGACCAGAAACATGATCACAAGGGGGATGATTGTGGGAGTTCAGGGTGTGGCCTGGAGAAGAGGTCCACCAACATGGAATATGTATTAAAACATGGTCCATGGGATGTGTGGACTGATGAGAGGCAGAGTTGAGAAAAGTCAGAGATGCTATTGGGAGGCAGCTCTAAACTCAGTACAAAAAGATATTCCCACAGATAAACCATCCAATGATGAGCTTTACTTAGGGTCCACGATGAAAAGACCCTTTGTCCACCAGCTCCCCACTGCCCATTCACCAGGCCCTCTCCTTCTTGTGGGTCCAGGCACTGATTTATGCTGTTACTTATTTTATGTAGCCATGTCTCTGAGGTTTGGGGTCACATCTCCCCTTCACTCACTCACTCATTCATTTAGCAAACTGTTCTTGAGCCAGGCTTGTACCAGGCTCTAGGAGCCCTAGATCTACCAGACCAGGCCTACTCCAGAGGAGCTCAACTTGCTGGAAATGACAGGCTGCCAACTGAGCGTGACAACCAGTGTGACCAGGGCAGGGGCTGAAGGAATAAGAGCTTTTTGGGGAGATAATGCTTGAATTCTGCCTTGAAGGATGCACACAGGTTCTCCAGGCATGGAGATGCTCAGCAGGAAGGCATTGCCTAGTGTGGGCACGTGAGTGTGTATGTGACTGGGACAAGGGAGGGATGGGTGCTCCTGGCTGAGGGCACCACTGAATCAAAGCATGGGGACATAAAGGTGCCCACTATGTTTAGGGATGGTCAAGATTCAGTATGACTGCAGGGAGAGTAGGAGTCATAGGCAGCTCCCAAGGGGTCTCAGGAGGGCCAGTCAGGGTTAGGGACAGGACTGAGCAGGTAGGTACTCACGGCACAGGCCCTCATCCTCGTCCTCGCTGTGGACACAGGTGCGGATGCTATCACAGACTCCACTGGCCGGGATGCAGGTCTTCTGGTCATGGCATAGGAAGCCTGTTCTGTTAGTAGGCGTCACACAGGCCTGGGCCCCTGAGTGGGCAAGGGGGAGGTCCCTGAGGGTCAAGGCTGGTGCTCATGAAGGCATCACCTGGGGTGGGGGCACTGCTATCAAACCTGCTCAAGTTCCCTCACCTGAGCCCCACCCTGAGCCAACCTGAGGCACCAGAGATCAGGTTTAAGCCCCACTCTACTGCTTGCCAGCTGTGTGACCTTGGGCAGATGACCTGACTTCTCTGAGCCTCAGATTCTTGTCTATAAAGTGGGGGTCATGGCACATACCCCAAAGGACTGTTAGAGGATTATACAAAAACTTCCCTGTGAGTAACCCTAGAACACAGAATGTACGGTATAAATAATGGTTGTTGTTGTTTGTTGTTGTTATGTGCCGTTGAGATGTCTCCGGCTCATAGCGATCCCTACTTGGGTTTCTGAGGCGGTATCTCTACAGACGTAGATTGCCCAACCTTCCTTCTGAGGGGTGGCTGGTGGGTTTGAACCGCCAGCCTTCTGGTTAGCAGTCAAGTGCTTCAGGCACTATGCTACCAGAGCTCCTTACATAATGGTACACGCTTTTATTTAAAATGTACTAACAGTCTCACAGGAAGTTTCTGAGGATGATGTTCGAGTCAATGAGTGGTTTTAATGGTGGAAACCCTGGTGCCAAGTGGGGTTCTCAAAAGTGTACAGCTGGACTGGCTGGAAGATACTTTGTCAGAATCCCTTACATCTGGGCAAAACTGAACAGGTTGCAAAGCACTGTCACTTTTATTCTATTGTTCCCTCAAACAATGCTGTGAAGTGTCACCATTAGCCCCATTTTATAGACAAAAGTAAAGCTGAGAGAGCAGTGACAGACACAGCTAATAGCCCAGGCCTGCTGACTTAATGGTCTAAGCCTGGGCTGCCTTCCCAGTGCCTAGAAATGGCGGGTAGCCATGTGAAGATGCCAGTCCTGCTGAGAGTCTCCCCTTCTATCTCAGTGGGTTGTGGAGGGACACCCATCCCTAGGTCTTCCTCAAAGAATTAAAGGAGAGAAACTGGCGGTCGGGGTGGGAGATCACCTTGGCAATGAAGGTTGGGCCTGCTGTACATGTGTGCATACAGGTGGCTTATGGGAGATTTGTGCATGTGTGTTCATGTACATATGAACCACATCTCAGCTCTCAGAGCTGCCTCAGCCAGTGTGAGGGCTTATCATGTCTTAGAGACATTCATGTTGTCATACAGACACACACATGCTAATAACCTGACATATGCACATACATGCGGATGACACACATGGATACACATAACAGACACATGCACAGTGACACAGGTACACACACGCACACACAGACATATACCTGCATGCACAGGCACATGCATACATACAGATACTTGTTCATACATGTGCACGTAAGGACACACTCACAGACACATAAACACAAATAAGCACAGGCATGTGAGTGCAAATCCTCATATAGTCACATCTACCCTGCTCCTGCTCAGGCACAGAGTCCTATGAATTTGATGCCCTCCTCCCACCTTGTCCCCTTCCACCCTCTGCCTGGCTATAGCACCAATGGGTTTATCTCCCTTCCCACAGTCTTCAGGTCTCCCTCTCCAGTGCACCCTTTTAGCCCTGGGCACCTGACCCTGCTGTCCACTCCAGCCCTTCCCATATACTGGCCTTCTTGCAGCCCTTCCCACTCCTCATGTTCCCTCCCACTTCAGGGACTCCACACAAGCTGTTCACATTGCCTGAGATGCTCTTCCTGCCAACCCCTCCATTAGCTAAAAACCCTGCTCTCCCTTCAGGACGGGGGTAGAGCCCCTGTTCAGGCTCTCAGAGCCCCCATTAATCTTGTCTTTAACATGTATTTGATTAATGTCTGTTTGCTTTCCAAACTGTTAGCTCCATGAGGAGGGACCATGGTAGGGTTGCTCACCACTGAAACCTGGGTTTTTTCAACAGTGAAGCCAGGGCCACAGGGATGAATCGGACACATCCCTGTCCTCTATGCTAGTGACAGACACAGCACCCAGGATGCAGGGCTATGGGAACCAAGATGAGTGAAGCTCCTAACCCCAGAATGTGAGTCAGGGAAGGCTTCCTGGAGGAAGTGACATCAGAGCTGGATTGTAAAGTGTGACCAGGATTCTCTCAATAACTCATTTCACAGATGTGCAAATGGAGATTCAGAAATAGCATGTGTACAAGTGTCTGTGAACGAATGTTAAGGAATCATCCAAAAGTCATTTAGTGGAAAAGCTGGTTGGGTCAGGTTTCCTCCATCTCTTTGCTCCCCACCCCCTACCAGCAGGCCTGGCCCACCCTCCCTTGACCACTCTGACCTGGCATGCGTGGTGGGAGTCCAAGGATGGCCACCAGCGTGATGAGGGCCACAAGAATTGCCAGCAGGAGCAGCAGGAAGGCCGAGATGCAGGCCCTGGGGCGTGAGCAGCTGTGGGGACCGCAGCCTGCTGTGTGGGAGGGGGTGTGATGAAATAGCCAGTGCTGGGGCCCAGGGCTGCCCATCAGCCCCACCAGTGCCCTGAAGGAGGCACCAGGGTGGGCTGGAGGTAGGGAGGGTGTCCTGGAAGAGGGGGCTTCTAGACCCTCCATGATGCTCTTTGGTCTTGCTCATCCCCCCACCAACTCCCCAACCCTGGTCGGGTCCCCCGGCTGGTGATTACAGAGTCAGATGAAGGTCCTGGGACTCTATACCACAGCCCACATCCTTCCTATCCCTCCAGAAGGCAAGGAGAGACAGACCTGTTTATTAAACCTCTATCACGGTGCATAAACCAGATCAGGCCCCTCAGAACTGCCATTTTTATTTTTCAAACAACCCTTTATTGTATCCATGAGGAAAGTGAGACTCAGAAAAGTGCCTTGGCTCCAGGCCATCCAGTGCAGAGCTGGGATGCCAGTCCATGTCTGTTTGACACCAAAACCCTTGCCCTTTCCAAGATTCCAACTGATGGTCCATTCTGGAGCTGCCTCACTGATGAGTCAGATCCCGGACCTATACACTGACAGTCACAGTGCCAAGTATTACGTGTGCTGCTGAAATCTCTAGGATGGGCCAATGTAGAGAGGTCAAAGTTTATTAGTGGTTACCAGGGGCATGTGTGTGGGGGATGGGAGTCATTGCTTTGGGGGCCACTTAGTTTCTGTTAAGGGGGATGGAATAACTTGGAAATGGAGAGAGAGCAGGGATGGTTGTACAACATGATGAATGCAATCAATGTCACTGAATTGTGCGTGTAAAAACAGTTGATCTGGCAAATGTTTTGTTATACGTGTTGTTGTTCTTAGGTGCTGTGGAGTTGATTTGGACTCAAAGCAACCTCAGGTAACAGAACAGAACTGCCCCATAGGGTTTTCCACAGTGTAATCTTTCTAGAAACAGATTGCCAGGCCTTTCTCCTGTGTTGCCACTGGATAGGAATGAACCACCAACCTTTTGGGCAGCAGCCAAGCTCTTAACCATTATACCAATATTTTACCCCAATAAAATAATAACAATAAAAAGAATACAGGCAAAACTAATCTAGACTGTTGGAACTCAGGATAATGGCTTCCCTTGTCAGTGACTAGAGAGGGGCTGCAGGGAAGACTTCTGGGGGCTGGTGAGGCTTTGTTTAACTCCTTGGAGTGGCTGTTGTTGCATGCTGGCAAGTCCATTCCGACTCACAGTGATCTTATAGGACAGAGTAGAACTGCCCCATAGGGTTTCCTAGGTTGTAAATCTTTATGGGAGCAGTTGGCAGGTCTTTGCTCCCATGGAGCTTCTAGTGGGTTCAAACTGCTGACCTTTGGGTTAACAGCCTAGCACCATTGCCCCACAGGACTCTTCTCTTGGTGGCTCTATGAGTATATTCAGTTTGTGAAAATGCCTTGAGCTGTACACTTATGATTTATGCTCTTTTCAGTCTGCATGTTAAAATTTAAATAAAAGTTTTCATAAAATTAAAATAAAAGACCAAGAAACATGGGCAGGGTGCCAGGGGTGCTCAGTGGAGGGGCCTTGGAAACTAGGAGAAGATATGAGGAGAGGGCAGTCCAGGCAGAAGGGCATGGAAGGAAGAAAGTCTGGTGCATGGCATGTGGGGACAGTAGGTGGTCTGGCAATGGCTCTCAGGATAGGTGTGGAGACAATAGTGGGAGATGCAACATAAATGTCAAACTGATCACCCATCCTCAAGAGCCCTAGTCAGTGGCTCCTTTGTCATCAACAAACACAGGGTAACTCAGGTGACCAGGGAGATGGCAGGAAGCCAGGCAAGGCAAGGCTCCTGGCCAGTCAAGTGACACTTCTCAAACATTTGTGCAACACAGGCTGTGTGCAAGGTGGGGTCACAGCAGACACTTGAGGGGTATCATCAGAATCAATGCTGTACTTCCCAGCCAGAAAGGCCCTTTAGGTGCCAATCCCTTCCTTGGAAAGATGGAGAAAAGGAGGCCTATTTGTTCCACAAGCTCCCCACCATCAGCCTGAACTTGGAAATAAATACCAGCTCAATGGAAGGTACTGGGGCTTTGTAACCAGATGGGCCCTGATCCATATTTACAGCCTGCCTTTCCCTCTTTCCAGCTGTATGACCTTAGCCAGGTTGCCCAACCTCTTTCAGCCTCAGCTCCCCATAACAAAGGCCCTCTTCTCAGAGTTGCCTGTATTCAGAGACCCATATAGACCCAGGTACAAAGAAGGAACTTGATCCTTTATATCTTCTTTATTACTGCTACATAAATCTGGGCCACAATAGGGCACAATAGGGCACATGCTCAATCCATGGTGTTGTTTCCTTCCTTCATTCTGTAAAGCTAAAGAGAACTGTCCTGGTCACACAGTGAGCCAGTGGCACATAATAGGTGCTCAATAAGTGCGTGATCCCTCCTCACTTTATTCCTCAGAGGTGAGAATTGCCCAGTTCACCCACTGAGTCAGGAATCTGTCTCCAGAGTGCTTTCCTCTGCACCACAGGTGGGCACTGTATGTGGTGCAGTGCCTGCCAGCCAGAGAGCACACAATAGGTGCTCAATAAAAATGCTTTCACATGGAGAGACTGAACAATCCTATTAAGCAAGTGGCTGTCAGCACAGCCAGCCAGGAAGCTGGGAGTCAACATCAACATGGGAGGTAGATGTCTGAGGGACAGTGGGAGCTTCGAGGGAACCCTCTTTGTGCCTCCGTAGCCAAATGCCCAGCCTAGGGACCCCCACCTGGGAGCCCCCGCAGTATACTGGCCCAGGCTCTCCCGTCCATTACCTTTCCCTCCAGGGAGAGCTTTGGTTTCAGTAGTGATGTTGTCATTGACATCGCCCTGCCCAAGAGAACAGAGTGAGGGGTGGGCTTAGCACAGAAAGACTGGGGAGTTTTTCAGAAGGGAAGACTAAGGCCCAGGGAAGACAATTCTCCTGGCCCTGGTCACGAAGGACCTTAGGTGGAACCACTGCCCCCTCACACTCAAGCATTGAAATCCCCAAACTCATGCCTGCTTCGCATCTCCACAGCTTTGCCTAGAGTACGTCCTTTGCCTGTCTGCTTTACCAACAGTCATCCTGTAACCAGCTCAGGTGGCACCTGCTTGGTGAGACTGTCCCTGAACCTGCCCCCCCAAATAATTTCAACCTCTCCTCCTCTGGCCTTCTGTCCTGGGCTCTGTCCTCCTCCCAGCACTCACCACCTGAGCTGTAAGGCTGGTTCACCTGTTGGGTCCCCCTAAAACAAGAGAAAACTTACTGCTATGTAGTTGATTTCAACTTATGGCAACCCCCATTGGGTTTCTGAGGCAGTAAATCTTTATGGAAGTAGATTGCCCGGTCTTCCTTCCTTGGAGTGGCTAGTGGGCTTGAACTGCCAGCCTTCTGGTTAGCAGTCAAATGTGTTAGGCACTGTGCCACTACAGCCTGAGAATGAACCCACAGGGCAGGGTGGGGGTGATTCACCTCAGTATCTCTGGGCAGGCACAGTCAGTCCCACTGCTGTGTCTTTTCACTGCCTACTCCTCACCCCACGGTTTGGAGCCTTCTCAGTACAGATCTTACCTGGGGGAAGACCTTGTTCATATCTTGGGCTGTCAGCTCCAGTCTTCAGGGATCAGGTACAGGTGCAGTGGACTCAGCACAGGTTCCCTGTCTTGTCACCATGGGCAGCCTGGGGGAGGGAGGATGGGAGGTGCTGCCCTGTGCCACACCTCTGTGTGGCTGTGTTGCAGTTCCTCCCAGTCAAGGCAACTGCTCCACACCTGCCTCCCAGCACAGGGAAGGGCAGGAAGCCTGACAGCAACACTCTGAGGTTGGACTTTTCATCCTCATTCACAGAAGATAAATGAAGAGCCTAAGTTCAGAGAGGCAGAAACTGCCCTCAAGTCATGCAGTAGGTGGGAGACAAGAGAGTTGAGCCCAGGAATTTTTAGGATGTGTTTTGGCCTCCACATCAGTGATGAGACTGGAGGATCTCAGCCTCAGCTGCATGAAGACCCCGCAGAAACACCAGGATTAACGTGTCTGTGGCTGAACAGCAGGGCTCATTTTTTCTTTTTCTTTTTCTTTTTATTGTGATTTGGGTGAAAATTTACAGAGCAAATACACTTTCCATATAGCAGATCACATACACTCTGTCTCATGACATTGACCACAATTTAGCACAATAAATACCTCCTCTCCCATTTCCTCCCGATAGGTACTGCTTCCCTGTGACCATCCCTCCATGCACTCCTACCCCCTGAGCTGTCTCCCTGTGCCTAAGCAGCTCTTCTTTCTCTGTTGCTTGTTCTCTCCAAGGAGTGTATATCTACCTCAGGTAAATGCTCAACTAGTATGCCTGTCTACTGCTTGGCTGGAAGCTACAGGTGTGTGTTCAATTCCAGACCTGAAGGGTAGCTAGGGGCCATAGTCTCAGTGGTTCCACCAGGCTCCCTCGGGTCAGCAAACCTGTTCCCTGCTTTTTTTTTTTTTCCAAAAGATTTTGAGTTTTGTTCCACATTGTTCCCCCTGTGTATCCAGGATCTCCTACAAAGATCCTCTTCCAAGTGGTTGACAGTACTAGCTGAGCACTGTCTATTTCTTCTAGTCTCATAGTTGTATAGGCTGCAGAGCGGATGGTGTACCAGTCGCTAGGAATGATTGTGTCCATGAATTTTTGGTTTTCTTCATTCTTCTTGGCCCTGGACGAGGAGAGACCCATCGTTGCATCTAGATGGCAGCTTGCAAGCTTTTAAGATCTCAGTTGCTACTACCACAGTAGAAGGTGGAACAATGATTTGTGTAGTATATTATGCCAATTGAGCTTGATGTCCTCTGGAACTATGGTCCCGAGGGCTCATTTTTTCACTGATGTTCTGCTCAATTAGGAAGCTCTGGTGGTGCTGTGGGTAAAGCATTGGGCTGCTAACCAAAAGGCTGGAGGTTCAAACCCACCAGCTGCTCCAGGAGAAACATGAGGCATTCTGCTTCTGTAAAGACTTATAGCCTTGGAAACCCTATGGGACAGTTCTACTCTGTCCTATAGGGTCACTACAAGTCAGGATTGACTCAGTGGCAGTAGGTTGATCTGCTCAATTAAAGCAGGCAATCTAGGTTGAAGGAATATCTATCTTTCCACTGGTCTCAACTACCCACTATGGAGGATGAGACCAAGGTCCTGGAAGCTTAAGGAAGTGTTCAAAGACCCAGGGAAGAAAGGAGAAAGAGGAGGTGTCCCCTCCAGGGGGGTCTCTCTGCAACCTGTCTCCAGAGCCCATGGAGTTTCCAACCTGTGACTAGCCTTTTCTTTTGCCTTGGGAAAGGAAGTGTCAAATCCCCAGAGGCAGTGGTGGGGGTGGGTGGGTGCAGAGGCACCCCTGGGGAAGCAGCAGTTAACACTGGGAAAAGCTGACCCCTGGGTCAAGAGAACAGGGTTCTCATTAGGGTCCTGCCTCTGGCTCGGGCTTGAGCAAATTACGCCCCTGCTCAGCTCCTCATCCCTAAAATGAAGGCGTTAGACTAGATATGGAAGGGGTGTGTTAGTTTGGAGTTTCCCAGGATCAAACCCTAAGACAAGATTCAAGGGAAGTGAGACAGGGGAGAGAAAGATCTAGTAACAGGTGTGTTGTCAAGCACGTTCCCACTGTGGGTAAGTGGAGTTTAATCCTGCTAAGGATTTCAGGAAGGAGCTGTGGTGGTGCAGTGTTTAAAGCATTTGACTGCTAACCAAAAGACCAATGGCTTGGACCCACCAGCTGTTCATTGGGAGAAAGATGAGGCAGTCTGATTCTGTAAAGAGTTACAGCCTTGGAAACTCTATGGAGCAGTTCTACCCTATCCTATAGGGTCGCTATGAGTCGGAATCAACTTGATGGCAGTGGGGCGGGGTGGGGAGGGGCTGGGAAGGATATCAGGGAGGCAGGAGAACATTATTTGCTAGCTCTTGTTGAGAACTACTGGAAGGTATTAATTCCCTGATAGTACTGACCAGCCCTATGCAGAGATGCCAGTGTTAACAGTTGGAAACTAGGCTCTTGTGTCCCCAAACAGAAAGGGCCAAAGGGTATAGGCAGGATACGCATGGTATCTGCTACAGATACTCAATAGATTGCATTCTGCATGCCAACTGCAACTGATGGGTAGGGGCTTTAAGGCCCCTGGGTGGCACAAATGGTTTGTGTTCAACTACGAACCTAAAGGTTGGCAGTTTGCACCCACCCAGTGGTGCTGAAGAAGAAAGGCCTGGTGATCTGCTTCCGTAAAGCTCACAGCCAAGAAAACCCAATGGAGCACTTCTCTAACACCTGGGGTGGCCGTGAGGCAGAACTGACTCAATGGCAACAAACTTGGAGGGTTGTATCTGTAACATGGAGTTCAGAGCATTCTGATGTCAGGACTGGGCTTAGAGGAGTGTTGTGATTGATTAGTGATGTTTGCCAGGGATGTAAGTATGGAGAGTGGTAACATACATGGTGACTGTCTGCCGCTCCTAGACCATCTCATGCCCTTCAGTCTCTGGTACTCTTTCTGCAATCCTTTAGTGTTCATTCGTAAGAAGGGACCTTGGGCTCAGTGAGCATAATCACCTCATTTACAGAAGGCGAACTAAGGTCCAGACAGGGAAAGGGACTTGTCCAAGGCCATACAGCAGGCTGTGCTAGAGACCAGCCAGCACTCCTTCCTCTGCAGCAGGTAGCCTCGGGCCCAAGGCTCGTGCAGCCTTGATTCTTCAGCTTCCCCAGACATCATCAACCTGCTCTTCAGGAGCTTGTACCAATTTACCCCCCTGTTGGCAGCATGTGGGAGTTCCTGTCTCCCCACAGCCTCACTGGCCCTTGAAATGGTTAGGCTTTCTGATGTCTGTGGTCATGTGGTAGGGGTGAAATATTATCAGTAATATATACTGATAATATCAGTAAGTAGCCACCAATTGCTAACATTTGAGCATATTTTGACACATGCAGAAACCTGCAGCATGCTTTACATGTAGTAATCTGTTTAGTTTTTCCAGAAGTTATGGGGATTGTTAATATTTCCATTATACAGATGAGGAAATGGAGGCATAGAGAAGTTAAGTGAAAGTTAAGCTACTTGTCCAAGATTCATAGCTGGTAAGTGGTAGAGACAACATTTAGACCCAGGCTACCTGAAGAGTCCAAAACTCTTGTCTCTTATCTATGATCTCACTAAGGCTGGTCCATGGACCACAGCATCTGCCTCACGTGGGAACATTTTTAGAAATGCAGAATCTCTGGTCTTACCCCAGACCTACTGAATCAGAATCTGTATCTTAACAAGACCCCACAGGAAATTAATTCATCAAAGTTTGAGAAGCCCAGCACTACACTGTGCAGGTTGCCTTTTATTAATTGGTCATAAAGCCATATTAACCATTTTCCTATGGGTGGTTTGTCTTTTTCTTACAGATTTATGGATTTCTTTCTTTATGCTGGATTTTAATCCTTTGTTACATGCGTTATAAATATCTCCTCCCAGCCTGTGGTTTGTCACCTGTTTAGGGTGACTTCTGCTGGCTCCCTCTTCCTTTCTAAATTGACTCAGCTTTCTTGCCCAGGACCAGGTAAAAAAAAACAAAAAACCCTCACTCCCTTCATGAAACGTTGACTCTCTTTCCTTCCCTGGATTTACATTTCCCTATATTCCTTCTGGGGAGCTCTGGTGGCGTAGTGCCTAAGGCACTTGACTGCTAACCAGAAGGCTGGTGGTTCAAACCCACCAGCCACTCCTCAGAAGGAAGATGGGGCAATCTACTTCCGTAGTGATACTGCCTCGGAAAACCAAGGAGGGGTCTCTATGAGTCAGGTCCGACGGCACATAACAACAACATATTCCTTCTAGGACTCCCTGGGGGGCACAAATGGTTACGTGCTCAACTATTAGCCAACAGGTTAGCAGTTTGAATCCATCGAGAGGTGCCTAGAAGACAGGCCTGGTGATCTGCTTTTGAAGACCCTAAGGATTTGCCTTGAAAATCCAATGGACTTCTACTCCGCACAGATGGGGTCACCATGAGTTGGAAGTGACTTGATGGCAACTAAAAACGACAACAAACATTCCTTATGGTCTGTGCCCTCATCTTAGCCTGGTGTGGCTAGGGGAGATGCACTACACATGAGACCAGCAAACCCCAGCTTCAGTCAGACAGACAAGCTTTTAATCCTGACTCTGCCAGATCATATGTAATTTAAGGTGGCAAATTACACTTTCTCTAAGTCTGTTTCCTCATCTGAAGAATGAGGACAAGAATCTCTCCCTCCTGGAGTCATGGTAAGAATGAAGTGAGTGCACATGTGTGAAAGTGCTCAGCATCCTTTGAGTGTGCAATATTGTATCTGGATGCCTTCATCTGTTTCCAGTTACAGAGAGATCTTCTTGAGGGCTGGAACTTCTTAGTCCAGGGCCCAGACCTAGGTTCGACAGTACTAAAACCAAACCAAACCAGTTGCTGTTGACTCAATTCAGACTCATGGCAAACAATATGTTTCAACTCTGAACAGTTCAGAATGGAAACCCGTCGTTATGTCAGGGACTACCTGTAGATGGATTTGACCTACCAACCTTCGGTTAGTAGCCATGTGCTT